CGAGGCCTTCCCGGCCGGCCCGCTCCCCTCCGGGGAGGACTGTGCCGAAACCCAGCAGAATCAGAACTCCCGTCGGCAAGGCCTGGATCCTGCCTCTTCGGGGAGATCCAGCCGGGCCCTGGGGTGCGAGGCTGTGAGGGGCGTGTGGGCTGGACTTCTGCCCCACGTGTCCCCGTGGCCGGGGCCTCTGTGACCAAACCGAACACGTGATCTCCGGCGATTCTGGCCACAGGGCCAGGCAGCAGGGCTCGGGGGGGGGGGGGTTGCCCGACCCCCAGCGGAATGACCAGCGTCCGTGCCTTCGCTGCCCCTGGGGTAGACTTCGGAAGGTCTGGATGGGGCAGCCACAGGGGCTGGGATCCCAGGACCCCTGGGCCTCTGGGCGAGTGGGGAGTGGAAGTCGGAGAAAGGAGCTCTGGAGGGAGATGTTGCCTCCTCTTGGACACGGTGGGGGAGCTCAGGCCTCGGAACTGCGAGGCCGAGGGTTCCGGAAGGAGGTTCCTGGGGTTCAGGCCCCTGGGGAAGCAGAGCAGCCGCCTGCAGGCCTGGGAGGGAAGACGCTGGAAGGAAGAGAGGCCCTGAGACGGTATCTTCCCGCGGCCCAGGACGGCGGGCTCTGGCGGCTGGACCCAGAGGTGGGGTATGTGGAGGCGGGCAGGTGGCGCAGTCAGGTGAGGCGGTGGGGAGGGGACGCAGGTCTTCCTTCTGGGGGAGGATCTGTCGTGGAGGGGCGGGGTGGAGTCGTTCGGAGTGGCAGCTCACATCCGAGGCCTCTGCAGGCCCGGTGAGGTCACGCAAAGGTACTTGAGGGGGACAGAGGCCGTCTCTGGTCCCCAGAGCAAGGGGACAGCAGAACTTGAGGTCAGGGTCTCAGGGAAGCGCCTGAGGCCCCAGAGTGCTGTGTGTCGGACCCGGCACAATCGTCTATTTATTATGATGCCCTATTTATATTAACTTATTGGTGCTTTCCATGGCAAAATGAATTCCCCCTTCCCTGTTCTCTACCCAATAGAAATAGTAGGGTGGCGAGTGGCAGCTCACATCCGAGGCCTCTGCAGGCCCGGTGAGGTCACGCAAAGGTACTTGAGGGGGACAGAGGCCGTCTCTGGTCCCCAGAGCAAGGGGACAGCAGAACTTGAGGTCAGGGTCTCAGGGAAGCGCCTGAGACCCCAGAGTGCTGTGTGTCGGACCCGGCACAATCGTCTATTTATTATGATGCCCTATTTATATTAACTTATTGGTGCTTTCCATGGCAAAATGAATTCCCCCTTTCCCTGTTCTCTACCCAATAGAAATAGTAGGGTGGCCCCTTCCCGGGGGGCCAGGCCTTCGCAGGGCTGCTCTGGAAACTGAAGATGTTACAAGTGGGATGAGCCTTCTGGGCGAAGCTCAGAGAAGGCTCGGAATCCGAGGGAACCGGTCAGCCATCCCTCCACCCCAGCTGTGCTTTGGGGTGCCAGGGTCCTGGCTGCAAGGCAGGCTGGGGGCACTCTGTGGAGTGGCTAGAGGGGGGCCTTTTCCCAGGGCCGCACGCTGCTTGGCTCCAGGGGGTCATTCGACGCTGTTCTCTGGGGGCCCCTGGAATTGTGCAGAGACGGGGGCAGTGGGCCAGGCAGCCCGGTGACCTGCCTGTTCCTGCTTCCCGGTCCCCACGCTGCCTCCTCTAGACTAGCAGTCGAGGGGGGCCCTGGAGCAGCCCCGACGAGGCAGCACCCAGCACCCAGCACCCAGCAGGCTCGCACACAGCGGGAGGCGCCTTCTCTGGTGGCCCGAACACCCACAGA